AATCTAGATTCTACAGGTCTTTATTAGGTGAACACCTAGCAATCAAATCAGAAAGGTAAATAAAAACAGTTTTCCTTTAAAGGAAAAGCTTGACAATTATGTTATTAATGTTGGTATCTTATGTTCACTTGCGAATTTGCAAAGTAGAATGAGCTTACTTTTGTCCTAACCAATTTTATGTCCAGTTCTCAAATAGGAAACAATGGACTCCATAGGCTACATGTGATGATTCTTTTGTAAATATGAAAAAAAAAAATTATTAAACTCCAAAGTTACAAAATTAACTGTTCCTTAATCCAAGGGACAACAGAATTGTATGAATTTTCCCATTGGAAAGTCCTAGTATTTGCCTTTTAGTGTGAGATGTGTCTTTGTATGGTACTCTATTAATAGAAAAGCACTGACAGAAACTGGTCACAGAGCAGGATGTAGCTAGTTGTGTAACAGTGGCTTTAGATAGCAAATGTTTTGCCTATTATGCAAACCCACATTTACACTGCATTTCTGATCATTGCAGCAAATAATGTATCTATAAAACTGCACACGACAAATCTGTACAGACAGTTTCTTCTCTACAAGTCTGTTCCACAATACGGTTCAAAATTCTCACATTCTTTTCTTCAAAACCACTCTATACCACTGGGACATGCACATGTCCTTAATCACAGGAGCTCACACACGCTCAGCCCCATCAGCTATTGCTGGACACAGGAAGATAGCGATATAACCTAAACTATTTGGGCTGGACAAATAACTTATGCAGAAGGTTAACAAAACACTGAAATATATTAGGTAGTTGTGAAGCCAAAGCTAAAATTGGGTTGCTTGAGAAACTTTTCCTTATATTGAGAAGATTAATAGAAATGAATGTGCTGTCCTTACATGTTTTTAACTGCTCACTCTTCCTCACAGCAACACAAACTATGCACGTGCATGACTTTTTTTTTCCTTGTTATGTTAATCCTTTCTAGTCAAAACAAAAGCTCTGGGAAAAAATAATCTAAAGAAAACATGTACAGAAAAGTGTTCTGTCTACATATGAAGGAATGAAAGGAAAAATATTTGATTGTGGAAGATATCCTCCATTTTAAGTAAATGGGCATCTTGAGTTCATTCACTTTTCAGGTGTTTATTAAGTAGTTTATTCCCATCTACTACCTGTGAGATCAGAAAAACACCAGTGTCATGCGTCTATTAATTGAAGCTACTTTTGGTTGTCTTTGTAATTTGGAAAAAAAGACAATAAATGATCACACATACATTTAATGTACTGAGAGACTGCCACTAATAGTATTCAACATATCTAGTTGCTCAACTAGGATAAAGGCAGTCTCTCTTTAACACAAATCTAATTAAAAACAGCTTACATGGAGCTTCTCCAGGGTATGCTAAGACAATATGGAAAATATGCATATTTAAAATCCCTGGATTTAAATCTAGCAGAATGAATAATGCAAAAGAATGTAGAAGTACTTTCAATGAAATCTAGAATTTTAATTATTTTTATGTCTTTTGCAGGTAGAGTCTTAGGTTATTTGGGCACACTTAACAATTTCATGCTTGGTTTATAAGACAGATTTTTCTAGCTGGGCCAGAGATTCTGTAGACAACACTCCAATTGAGTAAACTTGCTGATATAATCACAAATACTGTATGATAGAAGGACTGAATCTTTACATAATTCTGCTCATTCTTGGAAGACCTAGGAAGATCTTGTGATGAAGCACGTGCTCCATTAATCAGAAGTGAATGAAAGTGTGCATAAGGGTCTGTCTCTCAAGCACTGTTGTTCAAAGTGATATCTGAACAGCATCTAACACCAGGAAGAAAATGAAATTACAGAAAATAATCTGAGCAGCAAAGATGGAAACTCTGGATATATGAAAGACAGCTGAAAGAGACCTAAATCACAATCTGTCCTTTAAATAATGGGTGCTGGTGAAGAGAAAACATGCAGAGAATAGTCTGATAGTAGCTGATTCCTGTGTTCTTGATGTATTTTGGCTGGTAATCATGCAGAGGTAGGTAACTGTGCAAGACCAACATTTGTTTCAAAACATGCATGTCTGAACCTTGAGGGTAGAAGATAAATTAAACCTTGAAAAATATTTGTGGCTTACCTAAGACTGAAAAACTGTTGGCAACTCTAAGAGGATTAGCTGCAATAAAAGACCAACTCTTGGTCAGACTACAGGACAGAAATCTCAAAGTGAGATTTCGAAGAGACTTAGAAAGAGTACTTTACAAAGGAATTCTCATTTGCCCAGCAACCCCCACCATGTTGATCAGGTTGTAGTTTCTGACTCCATGAGTGAGATTAAAAACGCAAAGGTATCACAAGGAAGGGCTGGAAGCAAAAAGCAAGTGGAGCTAGTTCAATGTGTATTTAATAATAGCTGAAGCATGCACAAAGTGCCAAAACTGAGATAACGTAACGAGGAAAAGAAATAAAATTGATGCAATTTATATTTAAGAAAGGATACCAATATCCAGAATGAGCTAAATCACAGAAGGAATGATGGCAACACTGTGTCTGTATGACCATACACCAATTGCCTACAGTCCACTAGGGACCCAAAATAGACATGTTTGGACTGTTTAATCTTGCCCATTCTTCATTTTCAGAAATGCAGTCAAGAAACAACTCCATTTCAATTTCATAAGCACAAAATGGATATCTTTGCATATGGTGAAGCACCTTAGTCTATGCAGAGGTGTCTATCTATCATTTAAACTCTGGTGTACCTAACTCCAATTAAATTCCCCAGGCAAATAAAGTTAGTTGATGTGTTTTGAACAAATCACTCACAAATGACTAAGGCAACCTGCACTGACCAGAAAGGGAAGCTCACACTTGGCAGATGAAGCCAAGTCTACCTCGGTGCCCCTGCCTTGGGGCAACCAGTAGTTGAGAGCATTTGAAACCCACTGCTCAGGAGTGCCCTGCTCATTTGACAAGAGGCAGAACTGAGAGGGACCTGCCTCCTCTCAGAGTTGGGAAATTGAGAATGGAAGAGGCAAAGGACTGAAGAAAGAATGAACATGAAAAAGGCTGATATGGTAGCTCTGTTCTTATTCAAGGGCCACTGCATACACTTCAAAAATGGTTTTGAGAACAGGGACCAGCTTCCTGAACTCCCAGAGGAGATTGCTCTTCACTGGGCTATATGTTATATACTTGACATTTAACTTTAAATTTAGTAGTCTACTATTACAGTAGACTGTAATTTGCAATTTGCAACTACAACTTCCTAGGAAGCCATCACAATAACTTTCAGAAGCCTAAGCAGCAGGTTAAAGTGCTTGGTCTGTGATTCTGTGTCTGGTCTGCCTAAGCATTTGATTATATTAGGAATTTATGAATGCTTTAATTACATAGGAAGGAGAGGATAGGTCAAGGTCATACTTCTGTACTTCACATTTCTGATTTTTTACAGAAACAAAATATGCAGGGCAGCTCTCCAAAGTTTTACATGTCATTCAGTTCTGCTGCTGACCTGCTTAAAAGCTTGAACTTTATCCTCATGGAATGACTGAGAAAACAGTGTGAAGCTGCATTTTCCTTGATAGTTCAGACCTCATCAAGAAATGTCCAATTGCTGAGTCAGTAAGTTTTTTTAAAGAGCTCCATAATGCAGCTCTAATACTGGATTACTTCCAGTCTACTTTTTTGACCCTCTGTTGAATCCATTGGCATGGATTTTTCAAACAAAGCCCTCACTGCCTGCCATTAATCCTTCTGGGTAAGCAAATCAGCAAGTCTTTTAATCACTGGGATTGATACAACCACTCCTAGAAAAGCATCATAAACCATCTGCCAATTTCACAACTATCACTACCATGAGTGAATGAAAGTACAAGATAAACAGCACGGTACAGAATGCCACAGCTGAACAAAAAATTAGAACCAACACAGGAGAGATGGATTACTGCTTTATTGTACTACAATTCACAGAGCAGTTAAATCTCAACATATCATTCCTGTTATGGTAGTCTTTGCTCCAAACTGCAAGTCTAAGCACAAACACATTTCTGTGTATTACAAGAACAGAAGAATGTAGTCATGTACCTAACAAATATGAACATAATATATGTTTTCACGGGCTACCTTGCTCCCAATGCCTACAATCACACCTGATTTGAAGCAGCACCTCAAAATAAAGACAAGCTTTTGTACCCTTTTCACTCACAAATGTTTCAATTTACATCCTACATAGTTATATAAAACCATAACTGCTCAATGGGATATGAAATACTCCTTCAAAATGACAACAGGCCAACCTCACAGCAGAGTAGTTGCTAAAACTAGGTACAAAACTAAACCCAGGTCAGGTCTCTTTTGAAACATTTGAATATGGAGGGTTTCAATGGAGAAAAGGAAAGGTCACAGTCTTCCCTCTGCACATATGGATTGGAATAATTCATCCATTTATTTTCTTTTAACATACCTAATCCTTGAGAACATAATAAAGGAGAAACCCCTCTAAACTACACTGAAACCTGAAATAATTGGAAAAAAAAAAGAATGTGTCAAACCACCATCACAATTCATACGAATCAATAATGGCTACAAGCAGAACAAAGGAAACAGTTTGGAGCTTAGCTCAAAAGTGCTGGCAACAAGTCCTCTAGGGCTCCTTCTGAGTCTCTCTGAACCTTGTAAAAATCAAGCCTTTACAGGGTAAGTTCAAAACTCAGAGAACCAACTATTTAACAATTATAACCAGAAAAAAAGGCCAGCAGTAAATACAAACTGTAAAAATTATAATTGCTCTTTTCCTTCTCAAGGGGCAGAGATCTCCACCTCCAGAGACAGCTGTTGCATCAAAAGCTTAGAAACAGAAGTTGATTGGGCATTAACCCAGATTACAACTGGCAGATATAAACTTGCAGTAGGAAGAGAAGACAGTGAGAAGGCAAAGACTCTCCTGCACTAGTTTGACTGCTTCTCACCAAGCCCCTGGTGCCACCAAAAAGAGCCACTTACCCTCTCATCTGAGCAGGCTCACACCCAGCACTGTCCTTCCTTTCTTAATCTGATGCTCAGCCAATGACAGCTTGTGAAAAGGAGAATAAATAAGGAAGCTGCTGGTGAACAGCTTTGCATGAATGTCAAGAAGGGAGTTAACCTGACCCTGCAGCTTCTGGATGAGTTCCTAAGGCAAAAGCAATCGGTAAAAGGCAGAAGATGAGAAAGACCTGCAGCCCAGCCTTCATCAGGAGCATGTGCATCAGGAGCATGTGGTAGCTTCAGCCACACTCCATGAGGAGCTCCACTGGCTGTCACTTTTCTGGGATTTTCTGAGGCACCTGGTGGACCATGCCCTCTGAATACTTAGGAGAGGATGGCCTCCTTTCTGGATCCTCACTTAGAACAGGCATCAGATGAATTCGAAACACAGGTTTCCTCCATAATGCTGAATACAGGATGGCCAGAAACTGCTCTATTTATGATACGATTGCTCAGGACCCTCCACTGCAGCTGTGTCTCAGGCAGAACTAACTGGAGAGGCCAAAACAACTCCTGGGGCTGTTTTCAGGAGTGGTGTGGGGGCCCTTAGACAAAGTGATGTCCTGGGCCTCTTGGCTGTCTGTACTGATATACCCATTGAGAGCACAAGGGCACAAGGAAAGTTCTTAGAAAAGAAAAAACAAAAACCCACAAAATCTTTAAAAGAGAATTTTGTGTTAACTTTTTTTTTTTTCCTAAAAAGCACCAAATCATTGTTGGCATGATGAAAAAACTTGGACAGTGCTTTCAAATTTGGTTGGCCAAGCTGTACAAAAATGAAAGCTGCCTGATTAACAGAAACGTCATTAGTTAAAATTCTACAATTTGGATCCTTTGGCAATGAACTTAATTGTTTATTTCTGATGTGTAAACATGGACTTATATGTCTTAAGTATCCCACTAAGACAATGCCAGCATGACTATCCAGTATCCAAACAGAAAATCTTAATTAAAATTAGTTTATCTAATTCCATTTCTTGAAGAACATTTATTTGCGAAACACATGCAAACCCTAGGCAATTCCTGGAAATTAAGGATCAATGAGATAAACAGAGACCACTGTGAAGTGTTAACCTTTCCAGATGACAGCAGTACCACTTTGAGGTAATTTATAGAAGTTTTACTGTCATAAGAAGTTCAGAAATAACCACTTTCTGCTTTATAGCACAAATGTTTTTGAGAAGAGCTACAGTTTTATTTGTTGCAACACTTTCCTAAAGCCTTTGAAAGACATTCCTAATGTGCTGGGTCTTTCTGAAGCCTTTAAGCTTGGAAATTTTGGCACATGCAGTCTCGATTACAATGTTTAAGGTTCCAGCAGCAGAACCTGCTCTTTTAAGCATCATGGGGGGATATATGCTTTGTTAAACTGGGTCAGCTGGCCTGCTCCTACTGGAGTAAAGGCTTCGACACATTCATGGAAGGACCAAGCTATCATCTGGCTGAATGCTTGCTATCCTCTCTCGAATCTTAGAAGTCATCATTATTGTTAAATTCTGCAAAATATTTATATAATGAAATCCAGAAAGTTACAGTCTCCTACAAGCAGACGCCCACAGCTTCCAGAATGGTCCTTCTACTTTCTATATATTCTACCTATTTGACATTTTCTCAGAACCTTTTATCTTTCATATCCCCCATTCAACCACCTTCTCTCATCCTTTCTGCAAAACAATAATGTGGGCCATTTTCATGCTTCATTATTTGAATTTTCAGTTAAAAAAAAATGAGTACATGTTGCAGAGTTCAAGATCTGAAGCAGAGAAAGGTTAAAGGCCAAATCAGCTAATAGGAGAAAAAAGAGAAGACTGATTACCTTTGTAGACAAGGAGTAAAAATGTATTACTTTCACATTAATACTAAGGCAAAATGTATTGCTTTCACATAAACATTGAGGTATTGTTCTAACAGTGGAATCTAGGCGGTAGAATAAGGTGGTTTGCTCTATAGTGATTGTAACAGTTATACAAATTGCAGAGACATGAACCTTGCTCTACTACTACCCGTACATCAACCAAGTCTTGTCCTCAACCTAGACAAGAGGAAGGGGAGAGAGATACTCAGTGAAGCTTCATGACCTATGCCAGGTTAAATCTGCTCTACCCCTCAAAGAAGCACTCCTGTCCTGCCCACACATTCGCATTCCTGTTTCCCCTCCTTTCTTTGAATCAGCATATAATTTTTGCAAAGGTACTAAAACTCTTGAAAAAAAAAATTACACATAACAGTAATTCTGATCTAACTTGAGAAACTAAAATAGCTGGAGGAAGAATATTAATTAAAAAGAGCATATTTGCTGTCTGTTCTGTGTAAAATCCCCACATAGTCCAGGAAGCTAGGAGCAGAACCAGAGTAAGGATATGTAGGCAGCTGTGCAAGACAGCCCACACCTGCAAACAGCATCCTGGTCTATATCCCTTGTGGTCTCGGCACTTAAACTGATCTAAGTCCATGATGAATCTATAAAGGGTAGTTCCTCTTTTGTCTGCATTCTCTGATTAGCGTTTCTACCCTCCATCCCCACAGTTATGCACTTAAATTAATTTTAATTAATAAAAATAATTTATTTAAATCAGGCACTTAAATAAAAATAATACATATAGTTTGATATCCCTATTTCCTGCATTGAACCTCTACAAAACTATGATTAACAATCACTGCCTTCACATCTCAAGAGAGTTCTATACCTTTTACTCATGATTACTATTGAATAAAGTTACTTAGATGCTGAAAGAGTTCATAAAACCCAATACAGTTGCTTTGTGAAGTCTGAAGCCCTTTTTTAAGACCATGAAGTGCATTTCCCTACAGTTACTGTGGATATACTTGAAAAGTACACTGTCTATTTTTATGACAGAGTATTCCATGCCAAAAATAAGGAAGTGAAGATGAAAATTGCTATTAGATTAGAATCACCATAATCAAGGACTCATTACAAATTCAAAGGTACCCTATATGCAGGCATAGATGTGTATGTCTTACATTTTACATCTTAAAGACTTGTGAGAGGGTGAATTTTGTATATCAACTCTTAATCCCTTGAAAACTTTCAAACATACCCTTACAGTAATTGTATGACCTTGTAGGTTTGTTCCATTTTATGTTACAGTCATTTGCAATTGAAGATTAGACCGAGTAAAAGAACCATCAGTCAGTGCAATTTTAGAGCATTTTAAAGCATTACATAAGCAAGAGTAAACCTGCTCCTTTTATTATCTGAACATGAATAAAAAGTGACGCTGTGGCAGCTACAGTATACTTCCTTTACCTTCTTCATCAAGGCTTTCTTCTCAGCTTTTCTCCATCACTCATGTACTTCCATAGGCTTTTAAGCAAGCTACTGTAAAAACAAAATTATTTAGTCAGTCCTCTCTTAGATAGACATGCTTCCCACGCAATCTACTGAGTCTGCCCACTAAGTCTATCTAGGGACTAATAATGTCTTGCAGTTCTACCGCTCTCGAATACACTATAATTTCTGGCATCCCAGAAATGAGGAGGCTCAGTCATCTTAGTCCAGCCAGAGTATCTACTACTTTGTCACTTCAGATATTTAGATACAATTCCCCAACATGGATGGATAATAGGACTGGGAATAGGTTCCAGCACTGCTTTGTCATCACTTATTCTCAAAGCTGTAACTAATACCTTGTCTGGTGCTTTTGGCTCACACCAGGTAGTACTGGTGTGATTGGGTAACAGTCTGGTTGTAGCAGAATGCAGGGGCTGTTCTGAATAGGCTGTGTGGATGAGGTTGTGATATTTTTTTGAGGAAAAAAGTTTGCTATATGGGTGTAAACTCTGTTGTGCTACTGGAGCTTGGGGCCAAGGAGTGGGGCCCTGCCCATAGACACTGTCCCTGCATAATCTACTTCTCTGCATATTTGCTAAACTCCTGGAGAAACATGGTAAGAAGGCAAATAATTGAGTCTCAGCAATCAAGTTTCTTAACTTCATAATACCTCTGTCTGAGCAAAATACATTGGAGGCATCATACTGAAAGAGCCATAAAAAGAGTATACTCCATTTGCTGATGGGTTTCATTGGGCTATGAAGCTATGCCAGCCTATGAGGATCTGGCTAACTATGATTACGTTTCACTGGAGAATTTCAAGACTTTACCTTCTCCATATTGCCTTCCCACAAACACCCACACGTACATATACCCTTTTATTTTGTGTAAAGAGTGATTAATAAATGAGCAACTGTCATTGTAATAGGGAAATGTGTCTCAATGGAAGGCCTTTCATTGCACAGTGACCACTTGGAACCTGTCACTTCAGCAGCTGCCAAGCCATCTATGACACAATTGCTGCTGTAACCCACCTCAAGGGACAGTGAAGACGACACCGCAAAGGAAGGCTTCACTGTAGAGCTAAGCCCTTGAAATAACGTGGCAGTTTACCAACCTGACACATTTTATTACTTTTTCATATTACTGAAGGGTTTTGTTCAGAATGTTGTTGTCATGGTTTGAGATGGCCCTCCCGGGAGTTGGGGGCTCAGAGGTGACTGGGTGCCAGGGCAGTGTTCCCTGGAGAGCCAATCACCATTTGTCTTGTTCGCTTTTGCTGAAAAATCACATATACACAGCACCGGGAGCTACTGGCAGTTTCTGTTGGTGTCTGCTGTGTGTAGGTGTAGAAGGCCAGGGGGTGGCTGGGCTCCTTCTTCCTTCCCCCCCAGGGGAGAAGGGGGAGCCCTGTGCCACCCCCCCATCCTGCATAGGCCAGAGTTAGAGACAGCATTGGAGTGAGTGTATGTTTGTGAGGGATGCGACTCACAAACAACTGGTAAGTGAGGAGGGAGAAGGCAGGCCTTGCAGCCAAGCCCTCTTCCTCCCCCCCCTTTCGCAGTTAAGCTGTGGAGGGGGACCTTTTTCTTTCCCTCTGTTGTAAAGTGGATAAAAGGCTCAGCATTTGAAGCGGAGCCAAGTGGATGGGTTGATAACGAAACAGCTCAGCACTCAGGAGAAGAATCCCAGGCGAAATTGGAGACGGGTCAAGAGGCTTGGGAGTTGTCTGTTGAGTTTGACTGGGGGCAGCCGAAAACTGATTTGGAGGAATGAAGATTCCAAACGCCTACTGTGATAAGCTACACTACAGCAGCAGCGAACCAAGGTATGAGACTGAGAGGGAGAGATCACACAGCAGAAACGACACAGGATGGAGGAGAAAGGACTCAGAGCTACCTTCTTGGACTTTGTGAGGAAGGAAGGACTTCCACAAACAGCTGAAGGTTGGTAGGGAGTGTTCAGGGGCCCTGAACGCTCCCACAAGAGAGAGACTGTGTTACATATCAGCCTTGAAAGGCTCTTCCTGGACTAGAGTAAAAGGGAGAAGCTTCGAAGGGTCTGATAAAAGTGTAATATATATATATATATATAGTTGCCTTTAGTTTGTATAGTATTTATTTGTGTAAAATAAATGTAAATACTTTCCCCTTCCCCTACAGAAGCCTCTGGCCTGAAAGTTCTCTCTTCGGTGTTGAGATAAATTGTGGGAAGGGGTGGGGAAGCCTGGAAATTGGATTTTGGATTTTTAATGTGGTTCAAACTGCCACAGTTGTTTTCTTGACCTAGGATTCAAAAGAAAGTATTATGTTTTCTTCATTAACCTTTCTTGATACTACTCCCTAATCATACACATGTAGTTGGTTTTATTAAGTGCCTTGCATCTATACTTTTTTTAAATATAAAATAATAAGATATTCTCTAGAAGAACCAGTAACAAAGAAGAACCCTGTATCAGTCTTATGAGTACAACAGAAGCCAGCAATGCTGTACCCTGGTGTGGTCAGAAACAGCTCTCAAGAATTGGTTTCTATTTTAAAAATTCCTCTCCGTTTCTTTTCTACATTCTTCATCTTCTGTTATACTTCTAAATAAACCCTTATAATCAATACATCATTTCACTCTTGCCTTTGAGAAACTATACATCAGCTGCGAGGGAAAACACTTGTCAGGGTGCTTAAAATCCTTATTTTAGAGCAGCTAGACCTCTGAAAGTATGCATATACACTAACCTATTAGCATGAGCAAAGAAAAAGACAATATAACTTCCAAAATAAAATCTTCCAGAAAAGTAAATGAAAAATCAAGTTCATACTCGAAGATCTAGTTATTAAACTATGTACTATAACTCAGGCAAAGGCTGTCATGAATTCCCGTATTCAATAAATGAATATAGATTTTAAGGACCAGATGTATATCTTGCCTAGCAAGTACCTGCAGTAATTGAAGGTGCTGCTGTTCCACAGCAATATGTTACTGCCTTAGTGCTGGAGGTTACTGCATTGACCTGCATTCTTCAGCTTTAGTGCGAAATCCAGCAGCTTAGCCCAAACCATATTTCCATGACAGTATAAAATAAAACCACTTAACCTTGCACTGGTTAACGAACACTCTCATGACCTGTTGATGCATCTGTCCAGCAGGAGCAGGCAATCGGTAAGTTGTTTTTAAACTTTTGCAGCTGACTGCCATGCGAAGTGCACTTAAGATTCTAATGTTAAAAAGCTGAAAATTAAATACAAGCTTAAAATTTGCATCCATCATTTTCTCCTTCAGAAGACAGTTTGCTCTCTGGAGCACTTTTTGGTCTAGTTTGCAACTAGGATTGTTCAAAAAGTCTTGCGCTGGTACTTCTGACCTTTCTGCAACTGGCCCAAAATTAATATACAGGTTCAAACCTTCCAATGAGAAAAAAAGCTTCCTTTTAAATACAGTCAGGGTGTGAATTTTATTACTCAGTCTTTTCCTGCAACACGCTCTAAATAAACTAATTTAAACAAGGAAAGTTGACAGTTATGGTGTGCCCTGAGGCAAAAGCCCTAAGGAGTTATGGACTGCAGAACTAAAGATGTGACAATCTGTACAACGTACATAACTGCAAAACAAAGGGATGGAGTGATATCATCAAGTATCTGAAAAACAAAAAAAATTAAGCTCCAATTTCTGCATCAGAAGTTATCCATAGAGTACTACCAGTATACAAAGTTTACATGATTGAAGTCAGCACATATCACATTCAGACTGATGCAAACAAAGATGTTTGTAACCATGTTCTGAATTGTCTGAAAAGTAGTTCAGGACACAGTTTTTTAATACTCAGAGTGGAGAAATGTGCTAGTAGCAGGGGACATGAGGAAAAAAATGCCATTTTCAATTATTTATTTGGTGACATCCTACAGTATTACTTGGTTCAGAAATTATTATTGTAAATAACATCTTGTACAAACAATTAACAATCTCCATGCATTTGTAAAATGACAAGTCACGTTCAGGCAGCCCATACTTTGCTTCCCTAACATTTGCATATTACTGTGAATCAAAGACATCCTTCTAGTTAGAGCCAAAAGCTCAAAAATTTAGAACGTATGTGTCTGAGGAAGAGAGTGCACAAATGTCTTCACTGGATGTCGTTTGTGTGCAGTATGTGCTGAACTTCAGGATGTGATAACCTCAGATGCTCTCTAACTGGATATACTTAGAAAATAGTCTAGATGTAGTTCTATCATATGCTATCCATATGCTTCCTATCTATAACCAAACCATAAATAACTAGTTTCATCATAAAATAAACTTGTGGAATTTGGTGAAATAACACTTTTAGATCATGGCATAACAAAAACTGCCTTCTACTTCTCTTCCTAAGGGGCACAGGACAATTTCAGTTTTGAACACCGCACAGTTGGAAAGTTTCTTATAAGTTTTCTGAGTGCAAAAAATGCATTCCTGTACTGACACTTTATGGTTTTGCATCCTAAATCATCAATGTAACTGTCTTTAGTGAAAAGGTAATATGATTACAATTACTGATTTACAACTGAGGACAGTGGGATCCTCTATTTCCAAAAGAGACTGCCCTCTTTTTAATGATAATTTATTGAGACATTAAAAAAGCCTAGCATTTTTCAACCCTTTTATGTTGAGCCCTTTAACATCATAAAATAACCAAACTGACAGTTTCAGCTTCCTGTGCTTCACCAGAACACCTCATCGATAAAAAAAGAGGAAAGGATTTTCTCCAACAGGAGAAAAATCTACAGCAAGTTCTCCTGTTCTTGTCCTAAGTCCAAGGATGCATTACTCAGTAGATACTGCATAGGAGCTCCTTACTCTGTTACTGCATTTTAAGAAGTTTCAGTAGCCTCTTGGTTTTCATTACTTTCTTTTCTACCCCTTCCTTTGTCATATCTCTCCATCTTTACTCTCAGTGTATAGAAAACACATTAAATGAAATTACACCCACTCCCGAGTTGTTTGTGCAGTATTTCAAGATTCTGGCATATGTCTGTTTCTGAAACAGATTCTTGGCACTCTAATTATAATCACAACCAGGGAATATTACCTTATTTCTTTAAATAAATTAATTCACATTGCCATGTTTTAAGTCAGATGCAAAATGCAGATGTGGTTTCCTAAAGGAATATGGAGTGTTTATATATCTATATATATGTATTAAAAGTATAAATCAATGCTCTTTAGACCTTCATAATACACAAGAACCAGAAATAACATGAAATCAAATGAGCAGCAAAACCAGTCTTGACAACAGAGACTGTTTTCTTTCCCCTGTCTCTTTATCAAAAACCCAAATCGCAAGCAAACGAACATTTTTTGAGCTTTGAAAACTTAGCTAGCTTTTTCCCATCAGCATTTTCTTTTTCTATGATCTGTAGATCACAGGAATCTCAGACAAAATACAGCTCTTGTGGTCAGACTGATGCAAAACAGAGAAGGTTTCTTTTCAGTTGTGCTGGACTGGTTTGTGGTGTCAATATGTTCAGCAACTGAATGTTCCTTTAGATTTCTGCAAATACGTTCAAATTGTTTGAGATTCTTCCAAAAGTAACACTAGGAAAGGAACACTTGCATTCTAGTAAGTGCCACTTTTATTTGCTAACAGCTCCATTCAAAAACTATGAAGAACAACAAGACCTGTTTAATACAAACCCACAGCCCAGACCACTACCCACTTTTCTTATAATAAAGCTATTCCAGAGACCTTAACAGCCTTTTCAATGTGTAACATGACTGACCAAGACCGAGTCAAAGCCTCCTTAATATCTTTAAGGCACTTCTGACCTGCTAGTTCCTACCTCTACTGAGTAAATATCACAGTAAAGCTGAAGAGTTCCTGGAAGTGCAATTTGGGAAGTCATTTATTTATGACTACAGT